ATATCATCTTTAAGATATTTTTATTTATTTTGAATCAGAAATTTGATTAAAGCGAAGTTTCTAAGTTCTTTACTTATCATGATTGGGCTATCTATGCAATAGTTTTTTTGTTCCCTAAGCATATGCTATATGTGGTTCCCGTACAAAAGCCCACAAAAAAAAAGCCCACTGTGATAATTGCCCATGCGACAAATACCCACAGCGATGAAAGCGCACATTGATAAAAGCCCACGCAGATAAAAGCGCACATTGATAAAAGCCCACATAATGAAATGGGACTTATGGTTTTTTATTACTATAAAATGTATTTGTAATTTTAATTATAGTAAATGGAGTATTCGAAATTTTAATTATCTCAAAAATACATCTGTTTGTATATTTTATCACTACTTTATCTGTTTATTTTGTTAACTCTCTGATTAAGTGATTAGCTATAACATTTCGATAAGAAATCTGAAAATGCATTTTATGATTTATTTACTTACTTAACTTTGGTATGTATATGTGAAAATGAAAAATATCATTATGAAGCTCATTATGTTATTTTTAAGATAATATGGCTGAGATTAAATATAATTATGCTTCATTATTAAAACTATTAACTTTTTAATGGAAAAATACTTGAATTTTATTTTCTTCCTTTTTAGCTTTTCCTTTAACTTCTTTAACTTTTTAGTTTAGTAATATTAAAACAGTTTTATGTAATTAAGCACAATGAACACTTGACTAAGAGATATTTTATTCTTTACTTTAGACTGACCTAATCAAAGTTTAAACATATTTATGATTGAAAGCTTTCTTGAATGTAACAATTATAATTTGGCAATTTTCTAGAGATATTTTCTTTTAGATTTCTGAATAAATTAAAACTGTGAGCTGACACTCTGTCAGAAAATGAATTCCAAGTGTAGCCTCTTAATCTTTTAACTACAGAAGTTTGGAATAGTGTTTATAATTTTCATTTTATTTATTAATTTATTTGGGGGGGGAACAACTCTTAAAAGTCAACATATCTACAAATTTAATTACAGTCACCTCAAACTGCAGTAATAAATATGTAGCATTTTATTAGAGTTTGTGAAGATTACAAAGATTTATGCATATAATGAAATGCGTAACATGTTTTAGAGTCATCAGATTCAAAGTTCATCGTTTTTAGATTCTAAGTATACATATTAGTATATAAATTCATCATTCATTAATAGTATTATGTATAGTAACAGAAAATTAGTACTAATGCTTCAAATTGCAATTTTTTAATAATTTGTCTTGCATTTGCTGTGTATATTTGTTAAAGACGTATGGATATCAGTTATATGACATGAAGAATATACAGAAAGCAGCTAATCTTATATAACAGTTGATTGTGTAAGAAAAATTAGTTATATTGCTCTTAAATCCCCCTAGTGTAAATAGCCGTAATGTAATTGGCATTAGATTAAATTAATTCCATTATCCATTAGAAAATAATCGTAGTGAATTGATTGATATTTCTAAGAGGTCTATTGACGATATTTACGTTTACATATTCTTTGAGTTCACATATTCTTTGCGAATATGTCAACTCAAAGAATTCTATGTCTTGAAGAATTCTTTGTCTATTGACGATATTTCTAATTCAAAGAATTCTATGTCTTGAAGAATTCTTTGTCTATTGACGATATTTCTAATTCAAAGAATTCTATATCTTGAAGAATTCTTTGTCTATTGACGATATTTCTAATTCAAAGAATTCTTGTCTAATACTTTCTAACTCAAAGAATTCTTTGTCTATTGACGATATTTCTAAGAGGTCATCTTTTGAAAGTGACCTGTATTTTCTGAGAACATAAACAAACATTGCCAGTGAATATCACATTTCTAAGACTACCACATCTACACCCAAAATCCTTTAAAACCTTGAAAGGTCGCTTTTTTAGAGGGCTCACTATATTTTTAATAAAATATGTACATTATAGTTATACACTTGCTACATTTTGATTTTCTGTCAAAGCAGAGGAACAGTGGTTCTAATGCTTTAGGAGTATGAGAAATTTTAAAAAAATTGGCAGTATATAACAAAAAATGGAATAAGAATCAAAAACATACCTCTTGAACGTGCCTAAAATTCATTATTCTGCTCAGAATAAATTTATCTAAAGGAAATGTTTAATAAATATTAGAACTCAAAAGCTAAGTTAGGTCAAAGTAGTAAGGGTCATTTTGTCATATATCTTTTCTTAATCATAAATTAACTTTTCAAACAGCGAATGAAACGGGAAAGAGAGAATAAGTGCGGACTGCAGCTGACGAAACGACACTATTTCAAACTGGGCATGAAAAGAGAAAGAGCGGAATGGCACTAAACCAAGGGAAGGCATGCCTTTGTGGAGGACTTTTTAAAGGAAACTCGCTCGTATACATGGTACACAATTTGAAAACCACGAAAACGCCCAATGCAGTCAACCTTTCCACCAGGATTCGAACCCCAGACTGAACTGCCAGTGTTCAACATTTTTACCGTTTGTCCGCTGGTGAGCCTTGTGCCTGCATGAAAAGTTTAAGAATTCGATGACTGACACTTTCTTAATGTACAACTTTTATTTCATTTTTTATTAACTTTTATTCATTTAACTAATTATTATTATTTTTTTCGATATTTGAAATTTTTCTCAAATTTATTTTCAAAGGTACTATGTCTAGAAAATTTCTCGAATCAAAAATAAATGATTGAGTCTTAGATGAGATTCTTTTTAAATCCTTAGATAAAAATTATTCCAAGAACTAGACTAAAGAAATGCAAGAAAGGGATTAACTTCAGTTGCATGCGGAATTTCAGATACTGTTATTTTCTAGTAACTAACAAAACATATATAAAATCTCTTTTAATTTATTTCTCACCAACCTCTAATTGCTTTCCTGCCAACCTCTCCCTTCTGAGGCCGTTCTTTGGCACCCCAGGTTCGATAGGGGATAAAGCAATTAAACAAGGCTGTCCTCTCTTTAACTGCTTTTTCACTCAGCTGGGGGCAAAAATTATTCTAAAGGAAAACAAATTTTCTTATGGAGAAATTTAAAAAAATGTTCGATCAGCAGAACTTCCGATTTATAGGAAATAGTATACCTGATGTGGCTACCACTGATCCTAACACTTGTAGAGCCATGTTTAAAATGCTTAAGGACCTGGGGGCGGAACACCATTCCTACATTCTCCCCCAAGGCAAGAAACTTAAAGTCGTCGTTAAAGATCTTCTTAGAAGTACTGAAATAGACGAAATACAAGAATATCTTGAATTCTTAAATTATAAGCCTGATGACATCAAGCTAATGACCAGAAGAGGGAATGACGAAGTTTCAAAACTTCCACTATTCCTTATTACTCTACCTAAAATTGAAGAATCTAAATCCATTTATTAAGTTAAATATCTATGCGGACATAAAGTAAATATAGTCGAATATAAAGGGAGGCAAGGCCCCTTCAATGTTTTAAATGCCATGGCTTCAATCACACACAGGTTGGTTGTAAGCTTGAACTTTTGATTATGTCAAAACAAGTTTCTAATTCTGGAGCTGCCAAAGGATCACAAAGCAAAAGCATGTTTCGATGTACTGCTTCCGATAGTGAAGAAAGTGATAGAGAGGTTATTGAAAACGAAAAAATTTCGATTGACAAGTTAGTCGGTATTCTCGACACAGCAGTTACAGGACTTGAACAGTGGAACTGAACAAGAAATTATGTTTGTTTATAGAATTAAAGAAGTATTAGAAAGAGAAAGTATTAGCACAAAAGAAAAAGTATTAGCACAAAAACGAAGAAAGTATTAGCCCAAAAACGAAGCAATTTAAACAACTTACATTGAAAGAAATGTTTAATAAAGTAAACAAATAAATATTAATCTTTTTTTTTTTTTGTAAATTTTGATACCCTTTAGATCATAATTGCTTTTTATTTCATAAATTACGGTTTCATGTTTTTAATTTTATAATTTCTGCATGCCATCTTACCAGATTTAAATTGATGATCTATAATCCGGAAAAACCCTTAATCCGGAATTGTCAAAGTCCCGATGAGTCCGGATTACGGACTTTGTACTGCATTTGCATTTAAAGAATAATAACTGAGCTTTCATATATTAACTAGGTACTATTCTATATTAAGTTAATTCAAATTAAAAAATATATTTTCTTTCTACATATTTTTCTATTTAAAAAATCTCTTTTTGTTCATTGGGAAAAATCTCCTGATTTTAAAGTGTATGTGACAAGTGTATTAATGGTTAAACTTGAAAAATTTAAATGATTGTTTTCATTGAAATATTTATAAAGAATAATAAGATTTGGTATCATAATATTTACTTATAGTTCTTTTATTTTCTTATTTTCATCCTAAATTTATAATTAAAACATAAATCTTGCTCTAAAAAAGTTTTGTTTTTCTAAAAAAGAATTATAAAAAAAAACTTGAATGTATACTTCCTAATAATTATATTTTTACTTATTTTTCTGTTTTGGGAACCAGATTCAGAAGTGCATGTATGTGTGTGCACACATATGCATATACACATACGTATACATAAATACATTTCTGAATCTGGCCCCCATAACAGAAAAGTACTGTTATTTTTAGTAATTTATTTGCTATTATTTAGAATGTGTCTAATGTATTAATTTTAGAAACATTTACATCATTAGTTAATTAAAAGATGTTTCTGTTGTCATATATTACTTGATTTAGTGCAAAATAATCATGCCTATGCAGCCCAGCAGTAGTTTATTATGTATTTATTTTTCTTTCAGCATCTTTTGCATTAGAGTGAAGTTCTGTTTTCACATTTTAATCTTTCGGTCAGATATGATGTGAAGAATTATTTATATCAGAAATGCTTTAGTATCTTATACTTGTGTTATTTGTCAGTGCATTAATACCTAAAAGTCTTATAGTCAATATTTTAGGAGACTATTGCATGAAATAAAAAATGGAAATATGTTTGCTAGTTTATTTAAAGTATGCATTTTTTTAGCTTGCTTCAAAAGATAAAGTTGACTTTGGAGAAGGAGTCCAAAAATTATGCAATTTTATAATTATTAGAAGTCTGCTTTAGTACCAAAGTGAGTAATTTTTTTTTTTAAATTCTGGATAAATGTAATGCTTTAAATTTTGTTTTAATTATTTATATGAGAGCATAATGCTTTTCATCATAATATCAAAATGTAATTTTTATTACAAATTATATAAATTACTTTGACTTTAAATTGCTTAACAGGGAACCAAAGACGAGACTTGGATTCTAAATAATCATTCAAAATAAGTTCAACTATATCTGTTGTTATGGTTGCCACTTGTATACTGTTGAAAAGTTGTTCAACTTACAAGTATTGGACACAAATTTTTCATTGAGAATTAACTTGTACAGTACAAAATCTTTAATCCGGACTCGTTGAGACTTCGGCGATTCCGGATTAGGGTTTTTTCCGGATTATAGATCATCAATTTAAATCTGGTAAGATGGCATGCAGAAATTATAAAATTAAAAATATGAAACCGTAATTTATGAAATAAAGAGCAATTATGATCTAAAGGGTATCAAAATTTACAAAAAAAAAAAAAAGCTAAATATTTATTTGTTTACTTTATTAAACATTTCTTTCAACGTGCACACATGTAAAGCATACATTACGCATAATCGAAATTAGAAAATTGCAACCAGAAAACTATTTGATGTGCATTCATGATATTTATAATGACGAGGAATTTTATTTAAATCATATCAAAGATGGGGTGTATCGAGATGAAATACTACATTTAGTAAGGAATTATAAGCCGAATAAAATAAAAACATCTGGCCTGAAGATGAGGATAGTGCTGACAGATAAACTTCCAATTCATTGCGCGCCGTGACGTCCCCCCCCCTCCCGCAGAGCAGCGTGAAATTGATAAACAGATTTCAGAATGGTTAGAGAAACAAATCATTAAACCAAGCTGTTCTGATTATGCAAGTAATATTGTGCTAAGTAGAAAAAATGTGGTTGATTTATCCATATTTCGCAGCAATTCCACTTTTTGTTTGATGGACATCGAAACATGCTTTCGCTTTGTAGATCCTTTGGCAGCTCCAGAATCGGAAACTCTTTTTTGACATAATTGAAAGTTCAAGCTTACTTTTTATAAAATTGCTCTAACAGTCTGCAAAAAATAATAAACCGGATCCAATTAGAAGATTAAGGAACAACGCAATCTGCAACATTAACTGAAATAGATAATTAGATAATTTTAACCTAGCTTATGCCGTCCATTATACATTAAACGCACAATTATGTGCAGAAAGTTTGTAGCTTTGAGATCCGAATTATAGATCATTCCGAATTATGGACGTCCGGATTTAAGACTTTGTACTGTATATTGCTTAAGAGTTGTGCAACTTACAAGTATGAATGGATGTAAATTTTTCATTGAGTACTAAATAAGAGGTTTAAAGGATTGAGAGTGAAAGCCAAAATAATTTCTCTTACATTTTGATGCATTTATTATTTGTTAAGTTAATTAAGTTTTGCTTTAATTTGAAGTAAGTGGTAGCTGTTAAGATTGATAATGTAGCTTCCATAATTGAGTTATAGACAACATTTTACGGCAAATTATTCATGGAATAGTTTATAAAAATCTTTTGTAGAACTGTGAAAATCTTCTGCAGAATTATGAAAGTCCTTTGTGATAAACTTATTACCAATTAGGTACTATTCCATTTTGAGGACTGTAAAAAAAATTGCAACGAAATTGTATGCACAAAAGTGCCCATTTAACAGTGCACCAAATCTAGCGTACATGCTGATTTTAAATCGCATAAGTTTAGATAGTTCTGTATTTCTTAAGACGTCATTGAAATACCAGTTTAATTTTTAAATCCTTTTTTGATATCCTATAGATTTAACAATTTGGGAATTGTCCATGATGAAAAGTCTGCAATAGAATTTTGGGTAAACTGGCAGAATCACCCACTGCTTGACACGGTTTTAAGAATTGCACATACTCGGTATCCAGGTACACATCGACCTATTTTCACTTAATCCCAGAATTGCACAAAAATGGCACTGCGCACACCCTTGACTTTATCTATGTACACATCGACCTATTTTCACTTAAAAAGTAAAAGAAAATTTACAAAAATCCAATTGTTTTTACCCTTCTAAAAAAGTGGCAAACAAATTAGTGGGTGATTCTGCACTTTACCCAGAATATTTTCAAAGAAAAAGCATCATTCATTATAGAAAATTATGTTTGAACAACCAACGAGATGAAATTATGCTTTAGCGATAACTCGGTAGAGAAATAGCGATGCAGGCATCTATTTAGTTATGTTTAGCAATTTTTGTATAAATTATAATAATGATCTGAAATAGTCAGTGGCGTAGCTAAGGTGGGGCAAAGGGGGACATCTGTCCCTGGGTGCAGCATCCAGGGGGCACCAAATTGATGGTATGAAATTTTAGAATGAAGTGTTTTCCATTCGTGGCACACAGAAAGGGGCGCAAAATCTTCAGTTGTCCCCGGGCGCTGAAAACCCTATCTACGCCTCTGGAAATAGTTATTTACTCTTATGCTTCCATTCAGTCATGTTTAGCCTTTTTTATATACATTATAATAATAAAAAAAGTATTGCATGAAACTAACCTTTCATCTAAATTTAAACAATAATCTTAGATAGTTATTTACTATTATACTTCCTTTCTTGCATTAGGTTTGCCTGAATTATTTTTGGCAGCACTGGCATCAACAATAGTTTGGTGATTTTTTCAGTCCTCAAAACGCAATAGTACCACCAATTATTGTATATAGCATAAAAAATACCTTCTTTAAACATCTTTGATGTAAGTTGTTACCCAAAAATTCATTACAGTGTTTTAAGATCTTGTTTGGTGTAATCTGTAATTTCATTGTATTGCAAAAAGTGAATGAACAATGCATGTACATTATAAATTGTGATAAACATGATAAAAGTTCTTTAGAAGATTATATGGCTTTAAAAAAGTACTTTCTACCAGAGGGTAATCAAAGAATTGTAAGAATTGTTTAACAGTTCAAAAATGCCTGAATATCAGTTGCAAATGGTGATTGTTTCATCTATCCCATGATCACCACCACAATCCCAGGAAACATTGTAAAAAAAAAAAAAATGTTAAATTATTCTGATAGACAGCAGGTAAAAGATTAATGATGTTTAGACTGTCTTATGACATATTTCTTTAAGTTTTATCAAATAAATTTATCAAATAAGTTTTATCAAATAAGTTTTATCAAATAAATAATCACAAAGAATGTTACTATCTATGAGATCTGTATGAATTGTTGCCACAGATATGTTTGTTGTTGCCACAGATATGTATGTTGAGGAAAATTGGAAAATGCAAACCTTTTTGTCTTTCAAGTAATGTTAGAAAATGGTTAGTAGGATTGTGTATCTCTCTGTAGAAACATTTTAAGTTTTGCGGTATGTAGAAACCCTGCATTTATTATCCAAAAATATATTCATTAAAGTACTAAAAATGAATACAAAAAGTAGTAAATTGTAGAGTATCTTTTGGTATATTGTGTCATGGCAATTGCCCTTCATTCTTCTTATTTACTAATTTAATTCCCTGTGCCTTTAATAAAAATGAAGTCAAAAAGGGAAAGGTTTAGCTCCATAAATAAAGTCCAGAAATGGTAGTGTCTGATATATCCCTGTTATATTTTGCTTTCTGCTTCCGTCTGTTTTTTAGTCTTCATTTCACAGTTTTTAATCATAAGTGATCTTTCTTTTATCAGTTTTAGTACAGCATTTGACTGCATTTGCTGCCTTCTAAGTTGGTTGTCAAAAGCCTAAAGTTTTATGATATCATGCTCTTATTGTGCTCATTGAGGTGCTGTTCTGAATCATTCTCAGCAGCATTTCTAATAGATCAAGCATTTCCCTTAAAATCATTCAGTAATGTCTTAGTGTAAGTGACCACCTACCACCTTGACTAATGCCCACCAGTGGCTGAGAACCAAAATGTCTTAACACTGGTAGTTTGACCCATGTTCAGCTCCCTGCAAACAGGCTGGCTGCATGTGAATTCTCATGGTTTTCTCCTTATGTAACATGACAGTAGTAAAACTCCTTTCCTTATTTCAATATAATGGATATTGAACCTTGTAGGAAGAACAAAGCTAAATTTTCAGAATGAACAAAATGCTTTTATTTGAATTTTAAAACAGAACCAAAAAATAAGTGCTGCAACTCTTAACTGTCAAAATTTGAAACTCTTAACTACTGCAGTTAAAACTCTTACAACTCTTAAAAAACTAAAATCTTAAACTCTCCAAACAAAAAGAATCAAAAAAAAAAAAAAAAAATCTTCCGAATCCCTTCTTGTTGCCACACCGTAAAATGCAAGTCCTTATCCTATTATTTATATTTCACGTTCTCTTTAAGTCACGATCTTTACAAGTCATGATCTTTACAAGTCACGATCTTTACAAGTCACGATCTTTACAACAGTACAAACTAGTTTCTCTTAGGAATCCTCCATAAAATAATTCCTACCCAGGCAGGAGTTGTTACATGCTTTGCCATAATCAGTGGTCTGAAACTAGTGGCCCATGAATGCATTTTAGTTATATATTTGTTGTAAATATGGTGCTAAAAGCTTGTAGACGGATATGGTTATTGAAACAATAACTCAAACGGTAAATTTTATGTTTGAGGTCTGAAATATTGATTATCATAAATTTGAGAGATAAAAAGCAAGTATAAAGAAAAACATTGTAAAAATACAGTTCATATAAATTTTAATTAAATGATGTTCAAGGTAAATTAAAATTTAAAATTATAATTGTAGTCTTGCGTGCAACACCACCACACACAATATCCATGCAATAGAGGTATTATAAGGTGCAATATATATCCGTCCTCTCTGTACTTTCAGAGCATGCATTTGGCCCACATGCAATTTGATTTTGGGACTATTGATCTATATAGTCCATTCCATCCATTTGACCTTCTTCACTGCATAAACAAGTAAACTTTGTAACCTATTGAAAGAATATGATGTGTCTTATCAACTTGAATTTTAGCCTAAACTATTACAAATAG